TGGAGAATGTGAAATGTTTTAAATACTTGGGTAACTTGTTAACAGATGATGGAAGATGTACTTGTGAAATTAAATCTAGGATTGCCATGGCAAAAGCTGCATTTAGCAAGAAGAAGAATCTTTTTACCAGCAAATTGGACTTAGATTTGAGAAAGAAACTAGTGAAATGCTACATTTGGAGCATAGCTTTGTATGGGGCTGAAACTTGGACACTCAGGGCAGTAGATCAGAAACGCCTGGAAAGCTTCGAAATGTGATGTTGGAGAAGGATGGAGAAGATCAGTTGGACCAATTATGTGAGAAATGAAGAAGTATTATTTAGAGTCAGTGAGCAGAGGAATAACCTACACGAAATAAGAAAACGGAAGGCTAATTGGATTGGTCATATCTTACGCGGTAACTGCCTTCTAAAAGAAGTTATTGAAGGAAAGATAGAGGGGCGGATAGAATTGACCAGAAGATGTAAGAAGATGCTGGGTGACCTTGGGGACAGAAGAGGATATTTTCATTTGAAGGAGAAAGCTCTAGATCGCATCAAGTGGAGGAACTGTTTTGGAAGAGACTGTGGACCTGTCGTCTTGACAGATTACTGATGAATGATGAAAGAATAAAGCTGTATATGCCTTAGAGGCAGAGTGGGCATTCTGACTGAAGAGGAAAGATGCTGTTCCTGCCAGGTATTGAAGCCGGGAAATTTCGTTGTATCTGTGAAATGGTCCTCTTGTAGGGAACTCTTCCATGAGACTGCCTGGAAGTCACAGAACATCACCTGTCTGAATTAATGTTTTCCAGTGCTCATCAGATGGTTGCACGGTACAACAAGAAATGAGAGCTGACTGAGGCTGGAAGTTTATCATGGATATATAGAAAATTCTCAGTTCTGAACTGAAGCAAAGAGACCAAACTTACTGATAAAATCTGTTCTCACATTAGAGTTAAAGGATGCACTGAATCCGTAAGTACGTTTTTGTCATATTTATGTGTCTAGAAGTACAAAATATTTCTTAGTGAAAATTTTGCTCTGATGACTCAGAATAAGTGTTATAGTATTTTACATAGAACACGTTTCTCTGTGTCATATCTTTGGAAACATTCTCTTTCTTTTCTTGTGTACTTGCATAAAATAGTTGTAAGATGTGTCTGAGTGTTAAATATTTGGATTCAACCCATAATTTTAATGTGCCTTGTATCTGCAAAAATGATGTTATGATATTCTTTGCGTAATAAAGATATTGGGCTCTAAAAATTAGGCTGCATACTTCAGAATCTTTGCTCTTCTGATGCCCATCTGATGTTCATGTGATGAATTCTATTTTCCAAGTGTAGCTGTGATGATGTAACCTTTAGTAGAGATAATTCTTCTGCTTAATTCCAGAAGACTGAATAATGACACTATAACTATTATATTTCAGTATTATATTTAGGTTACTTTATTTTAAAGTTTTTTTTATGGAACCTGAGGTTTATTACCGTGTTAACAAGAGCCCTTCATTGGTCCCTATCCTGAGCCAGATCAATCCAATCCATACCATCCCTTCCTATCTCTCTAAGATACATTTTAATATTGTCCATCCACCTATGCTTTGGTCTTCCCAGTAGTCTCTTTCCTTCTGGCTTTCCCACCAATATCCTATACACTTTCCTCATCTCCCCCATTCGTGCTACATGCCCTGCCCACCTCATCCTCCTTGACATTCTAATTATACGTTGAGAAGAAGTTATGAAGCTCCTCATTGTGCAGTTTTCTCCAACCTCCTGTCACTGCATATCTCTTCAGTCCAAATATTCTCCTCAACACCCTGTTCTCAAACACCCTCAGATTATGTTCCTCCCTTAATGTCAGAGATCAAGTTTCACACCCATACAGAACCACAGGCAAAATTATAGTTTTTTATGTTGGCAACTCCTCCAGAAGGGCTCAACTCCATGAGTATTATTTTTTTTTATTATTATTGCTAGTCCCTTGTACTGTGGCCACTTCTGGCCTATTGTACCAGCCCAAGATGATAGGTGAGGGTGATTGTGGAGCAGTTGGTGGAATGAAGATTGGCAGGGAAAAACGAAGTACTTGGAGGAAACCTGCCCCAGCACCACTTTGTCCACCACAAATCCCACTTGACCAGACCCAGGATCGAATTCGGGCCACCGCGTTGGGAAGCCAGCGACTAACCACTTGAGCTATGGCGCGGCCGAGTAAGTAAGTAAGTAAGTATTTTAAAGTTTAAAAAATTAGAGTTTTGCTTTTGGTTGTATTTACTGATGAATTATAATTAGCCAAGCCCCATTCAGGATTGCTTCTTACTGCAATGATTCCACATTTCTGTGGGTTTTGTCACACCTAAGCCTCTGTGTATCTCTGCCTTCCCGAAACTCCTCATAATTGTCCTTCTGTAGTCTTCCTTTTTTCTGTGTGACATTGTTCTTAATCTGTTGTACCCATCTTGGTCTTTATTTTGGTAATTTTCCTCCTATTTTCATGTTATGATTTTTATTCATTCATAAAACTTGTCTTAAACATCTTAGTCTGTAATTTATTAATTTATCTTTCAATTCTACGATTTTTAGTTTCTCATGCAGGTAGCACATATGACAAAGTAATGTGGTTGTGAAAAAAAGAAATACCCCCAAGATTTTGATGGA